GAACAAGGAATCACATAAGAACTCTGATTTTATTTCAAAACCTTCCGCCTTGCTCACCTCTGTCCTGGTCTAGCATGGAGCTGACACAGCATTAAAGTTTTTGTGTCGGGGCCAGTAGGTGGTATGGTGGTTTAGACACTAGATTCCGACATGAGCAACCACAGTTTGGGTCCTAGGCCTGGAGGCTTGAAAATCACACTGGCACTTGTACATGTGTGTCCAAAATCCTGAGAGGAAATGGAGGAGAAAGGATGGCAGTGTGGCCATCGCTGCTAGGGGGTGATTTCTCACTTTCCCTCTCCCTGCCTCTCTCCGGCGACCACACATACCCTATGGCAATAAATAAATAAATAATAAAATAAAATTGTTGTGTGTACACACACACATACAAAAGCAATTTCCTAGTTTGGTTTAACCCAAAAAGCAGAATCTGAGACAAGGACTTACATGCAGGTAATTTGGGAACTTCAAGAAAAAAGGGTTGAAATCCACACAGTGGTGAGTGGTGGCGCTGGTTACCACTCTGCACGGATGAGCCTCAGTCCCCCGAGTTCCTCTGTGGACTGTGACAAGCATGCCTAAATGCCTCAGAATTGCCCACCGAGACACGGAGTACCCACTGGCTCCCCCACTCACTGGCTATGCAAGGGTAGCGCCTTCACATTTCCAGGACTGGACGCCGGCCTGACTCCAAGGGCTCCTACAGGCGGCCTTGGAGCCTGGCCAAGCCAGGCACTGGGAAAACGAGGAAGAGACCCTCAGCGCAGTCAAGAGGAGGCGCCCTGTGGCTGCACTGTACACAGCTGGCTGTGTATGGTAAAGTGTGTGCATAATTAAAAGTTTAAACCAAAAAGCAGCTACAGACCAAAGTAAATATCTCTCTTGATCGCTGACCCTTTATTGCCTAGTCTTCCTCGCCAGGGGCAATTTTTGTTTGTAATTTCTTGTATATCTGGGTGCTCCACATAGAGACAAATAAATGCGCAGTACTTCTCCCTCCTCTTTTTTAAGGTTTTTGCCATAGCGTGGGTGTGCTCACCAGAAAGAGGCAGACAGTAAGAGGGAAAGTGAGAAACCACCCCAGGGAGTATGGCCATGCTGCAATCCCTTCTCCTACATTCTCCTCTTGGAATTTTAGACATGTACACACATGTGCCCAGTGCAATTTTCAAGCTGCTGGATCTGAGACTTGAACTGCTGCTGGCTATGTGTGAGTCCGTTGCTTCAATCACCACACTGCTTGCTGGTCCCAGTACTTCCCCTTTAAAGCACTGGTGATATACTATGCAATGCCTACTGGACTGCACTTTAAAAATTTTATTTGTTGCATCTTGATAAATAAATTAATATATATGTACATATATATGTTTATATATATATATATGTATATGTTCACAATTCCCTTGTCTTTGGCATGAGTGTATGTAATTTTTATCCATGGCTGTCCCATAATTTGTTTAACAAGTCTTATTCTCTGATGATATTGATATTTCCAATATTTTAATATTTTATTTATTTTTAATTTTTTTTAACTGGTGATATCTGCTCCAGATACAATTTTTTTTTAAATTTTTTTTGGAGAGGTTTTTGCTATAGGGCGCATGCGCTCGCCAGACATACAGAGAGAGACAGAGAGACAGAAAGCGAGAAATCACCCCCCAGGGGTGATGGCCACGCCGCAATCCCTTCTCCTCCATTCTCCTCTCGGGATCTTGGGCACGCACACATGCCCGGCATGAGCCGGCATGAGTTTTAAGCCACCGGGTCCAGGACACGAACTGCTGTTGACTATGTGGGAGCCCAGTGACATAGCCATTACGCTAAATGCTGGTTCCCCAGATACAATTTTTAAAAATGTTTTTATTTATTCATTCATTTATTTTAATTTGACCAGAGAGAGAGAGGGAAAGTGAGAAACCAAGCCACCAGGTCCAGGACTTGAACCATGGTCAGCCATGTGGGAGTCCAGTGCCTGTAACCACCATGCCACCTGCCGGCCCCTACGATTTTTTTTTTTAAGGCTGTTGATTAAAGTTTATGTGAGTCAAGATCACTCTTTTAGGTATTGCTCTACGAATTTTGGCCAACATATACAATCATGTGCTTGCAATCAAGGTTAAATCAAGTTCTATCACTCCACAGAGTTCCCTAGTGCTTCTTTGTAGGCAGTCCCCTTCACTCACCCCAAACCTCTGGCAACCACTGTTCTGTTTCCTATCCCTATAGCCTGCCTTTTCTAAAATGTACGGGGTGTAGCCTTTTGAATGGATTGGTGTTTCTTTCACTGGGCATGATGCGTTTGAGACTCGTTCATGTTGTGGCATGTGTCAGTGTTGGTCTCTTTTTACCACTGACTGATACAGCACTGTATGGATGTGCCATGCTTTGTTCCATCATTCCACAGTTGTAAGACATTGAGTTGTTAGGACCAGCAGATAGTGTAATGGTTATGGTGCTGGACTACCACATAGTCAATCATGGTTCAAGTCCCGGACCCGGTGGCTTGAAACTCATGCCAGGTGCATGTGTGTGTGTGCCCAAAACTCCAAGGAGAATGGAGAAGAAGGAATTGTAGAGTGGCCACGCCTCCAGAGGGTAATTTCTCACTTTTTGTCTCTCTGTCTCTCCAGTGAGCACATATGCCCAGTAGCAAAAATCTCTCTCAAAAAAAGTATGTATGATTAATAAGCAATTGCCAAACTACTTTCCAAAGTGACCGTACCACTTTGTTTTCTCACCAGCAATAATTGCATGCTTGACAGCACTTACTATTATCAATTGTTCTTATTCCAGCCTTTCTGAAAAGTGTGCAGTTTTCTTCCCTCTAAACTCTGCTACAATCAATAGCCTTGCACATGTATTTTTTGTACTTAGTTGTGAATATATCAGTAAGACACGTTCTTAGAATTAGACGAGGTGGGTTGAAGGGTGTGAAAGTTTGCTTAGCCGTTGTCAAACAGCCTTCTGCCTGGTCGGAGGTGCCTATTTGCCCGCCTACTGGCTAGGTATGGCAAGGACCTGTTTCACCACGTCTTTGTCAACATGCCATGTTACTCAATTGCAGTACACGTTTCTTAATGAAATTTTGCTTTAGAAGATTGCCGTGTGAGTATCTCTACCTCAGGGGGTTGTTGCCCCTCATGTAAAGTCTCCCAAGCCATACCTGTCACACACAGAGTAGCAAAGGATGTTGCTAGTCAATGGATCACATTATTGTTTGCCTTTCTCCGAGTGAGCTCCTCATTGCAATATTCAGTAATGCTTTTCTCTGAAGAGTTCAAATAGTCCACCTATGGAATTTAGCTAATCCTCATAAATCTCTTGAGATGCTGATCAGGGCTTCAGGCACGGAGGTTTCATAGAAGAGAGAAACATGAGTGCATAGAACCTTTTAAAAGTAACAGAGCAGGTCTGTGACCCACGGGGTCAAATATGAATCTACTTTGGAATGGGAATTGATTCGTCTCAAGTACAATAGCTTTGAATTTTGTCTTTTAATTTGCCAGAGGGCATGTGCACTCACCAGAGAGAGACAGAGAGACACAGAGAGAGGGAAAGTGGAACAACACTCCCCAATGGGGAACAGTCATGTTACAATCCCTTCTCCACCATCTCTCCTTCCTTCCAGATTGTTGGTATGCACACACACATACCCAGTGTATTTCTCAAGCTACTGGGCCTCAAACCAGGCCATGTGGGATTCAGTTTCCTAACCACTAGGCCACTGGCTGGCCCTCAAATTTTTATTTATTTATTTATTATTTATTTAGTTTTTATTTCCACCTGCTTAAGAAATACATCAGGAATCAGAACACACATATATACCCGAAACAAAAGTTTCAAAAAATAATACTTCACCATGTTTTCTGTGGTTGTATTTAATTTCTTTGGCAATATACTCATAGATGTCAGCTAGTAGCTTAAAGAGCACTATTCTAGAATCTAGGTCAAGATGCTTCATTCATTCATTCATTCCATGAGAGAGATAGACAGACAGCTAGACAGACAGACAGCACCCCAGCAGGGTCCTAACATCACCATCCAGCCTTCAACCAGCCCAATTATGCACAAGCATGCTGGCATACTCAGCGTATTCAGGGAGGTCTCCAGACCAAACCCGGAATCTTCCCACGTGTCATTGCCTTAACAGAGTGACATGTTCCACCACTGCACCACTATCTGTCCCCCACCTGCAGATGCCTCTTATTTAACCAGGTCATTCACCTTCCTGGCAATTCAACTTTAATCATACAACCTCACAATCCGTTTGGGGTGCATTATTTTCATGTTCCCTTTTCTTCATTTCCTTGGATACTAGAGATTATTCCTTCCTCAATTATTTTTCACAAATAGCGCTTGGATTCCTTGTGTGCACTGCTCAGTGTTAAGTGCCAGGCTTTGAAGAGAACAGGCTTTGAAGAGCAAGAGGCTGTTTCTTCAGCTACAGAAAGACTCAGTTTCTTCCTCTGTAAAAACAGGCGTCATCTTAGGGAAATGAGTATGCGAAGCTGCGTGAAGGATTTGGCGCAGTGTCAAGCTCAGCGTGTTTAATACACTTTCTCAAAGTGTGATCCCCAGGACAGCAGCATCAGCGCCACCTGGAAACTCGAGACAGACATGCAACTTCTGAGCCTTGTCTCGGATTTACTGAATCAGAAACATCGGGGTGGGACTCAGCAATTTGTTTGAACAGGTCTTCAGATGGTGGTGCATAGACTTGAGTATCAACAATCAATGCCTGAGGCTGCAGAGATGAGCAGTGAGCAGACTACGACAGGCTCTGCTGGCTAACCCTACACTCAAAGGAGCTAGCTGCACTCATAGGTACCGGCTCTGAGCTGCTCACTCAGAGCGCTCCCTTCTCCCTCAGCAGGGCCCGCCTAGAGCGCTTGCTGATTGGTGGAGACTTTCAGGACCCTCATCACCAACCCAATCGTGGAGAGAGTAAGCTGAGAAGGGCGGGGCTGGAGGCAGCGAGAGCTATGCGTCTATTGGCTACGGACCACACCGGGGAGGGGCGGAGCTGCGCGTGCGCACAGCTAAGGCGCGCCCCTGGCGGCCGTTGAAAAATGGCGACTGTCACCGAGCTGAAGGCTGGTGAGTGCTAGCGGGAAGCGTCCGGCCTTCATCCTGCGGAAAGGATGGGATGAAAGGAGAGCGCGCGGAGAAGTAGGGTCGGTCTCTGGAGGTCGTCGCGGGGTATCAAGGCCTGCGGGGAGCGTCCGGCTGGCGTGGCGGCGTTGCGCGGGGACCCTGGGCAGTGGTTGGCCAGGGCAGTTTTTAACCGGCCTTGAGCTAGAGAAGTCGCAGAACCCGCAGGTGCCTGGGGTCTACACCGCTGCACCTCGGGCCCTGGGCGCGTCCTTCTACATCCCGTCGAGGCCATGGGACTGGACTGGGCCTTTCACTCGGGGCTGATGATCGGAATTCCCACGACCATTGTTAGTGCCAAGCATAACTCTAAACTGTGACCCCCTTGAATCCTGAGCCCTTGCTTTTCCACCGGAAGAAAGTAGACGCAGAAAGGTTTCCTGGCCTGGCCATTCTCCTCCTATCTTTTCCCTCAAAGGTAGTCATGTGCGAGTCGTTGGTAACATGTGTACAGCAGGTGTCCGGACAAGTAGTCGTACGTAATCATTATCAGTGATTGAGCTTTGTATGTCAGCCACGTGTTATCTACCGATGCGATCAAACATTCCGATGCCCACTTCATAGACCGGGAAATTGAGGTGCTGACTGACAGGTGACACGACTCACGTGGAGGCCCTTGGATCCGATGAACCAGAGCGCCAAGTCTCAATCACTCATCAATACACTCAGCTGCCCAATGAGTAAAACCAGGCCCGGTTTTCAGGAAGCTCCAGGTTCAGTCCAGTAGTTCTTACAGATCGGGAGAGGAGGGGTTGAATCTTTTTGAGATCCATTGTTAAGACCAGTGATGGACATGTGTATTTTGGGCCCTGGACTGGCAAAGGATAGTAAAGCAGGCATGGCCAAGGAAGTAATGTAATATTGGACTCCCACAGAGCCCACCAGGGTTCAAGTCCTGAACCTGGAGTCTTGCTTTCTGTCTCTCCCTTTCTCTCTGTCACATGTAATGTTGCATTTTACTTTCAGAGGGCTTAAAGATACTCTGTGGGCCAGATTAGGACCTCATTTTGAAGATGTTTTTATGGTAGTGTTGTAAGCATAATAATAGAGGCAAGGGTAAAATGATGCAGAACCCCAGAAGGCATAGCTGTAGGGATTGAGGGTGTCCTATACAGATTTACTGGACCCTTTATACACACACACACATATACACATATATAAGTGTATATATATATTTTTTTTTTTCCACCCTGCATTCTCCAGTTCTGAAGTATTTTATACCCAAAAGAAAGCCAATGAAAACCAGTCTGGTAGCCAGTTATCTTAAATTTTGTGGGCTTACACATTTTGTACACTCACATTTTTCTACCTTGTTTCCGTCTCTGAGAGATAGAGCTCATCTAGAGAGGGCAGCTGAGGCATGCTTGGTAATCTACTGCCCAGGTGGTAATGAGACATGCTAGGTTTCCTAATTCCATTTTCATTAATTCTCATTTCTCTGCCTAGGTCAAAGCTATACTGTGTGCAGTACAGAATAATTGGGACGGGATCCTTGCCAATGGAAAAAAAAAATCTCTCCATCTAATTTCCAAAGATGAAATTAGAACACAGGGGTTCCATTATGATCCTAAGAGTATGATAAAGCTGGACTTCCCTTTTATGGTCCTGTTACAAAGTCTGATTGGGTGATAACTACATTTAACATACTTGAAACAAGGTTAAGGGGATGGTTTTAAAATAAGCGCTAAGTTTAGTAAAGATTGTATCTCTTCAATCATATGGCCCAGAATTTATGTTGTTATATATCAAAACTTAAAACAATTTTTTTTTTATTTCCAAGCTCTGAGAGTAAATAAACAAACTCAGTTTTTCCCACTGCACCCAACACGTTTATGACATCAGTAGGGTGGGGAGGTTTCCCACACGTTAAGCGAGGGATCGGTTCTGCAGTGGACAGCAGCTGGCGTCATAATCCAGTTCAGTACAGTAGTTAGCTCCATACAGCTCACCCATAGCACACGGCTTACATTGTAGAGCTCCTCCACGGCGTTCATGGAGCTCGTGCTGTGTTCCAGACACTGTCTAGAATGGGGGATGTGTTGATTGCCTGGAATTATCATGTAGCCATCGGGACTATCTGAAAAAAGAAAGTCCTAGATCACTGCAAAGGATGGTGCAGGTTCAACCCCATTATCCAAGTCTTTACAGCGAAAGCCCATTATTAAAATGCCTGATGCTTGTCATAGTGACCCTGGCTCATGAAGAAGTTAGGTTACATTTAGCATAAACATCCCTGACTCCTTTACATGGCAGTAATGTAGGCTGTATTTCTGACTGGTTTTAACATTTCAAAGTCTTACAGTTTTGGGGACCGTCAGTTAGCATAGTGACTATGTCGCTGGACTCCCATGTAGTCAACCGCGGTTCGAGTCCCGGACCCGGTGGCTTAAACTCACGCTGGGTGCATGTGCATGCATGCCCAAGATCCTGAGCGGAAAAGGGAGGGTGGCGTGGCCATCCCCCCCTGGGGGTGATTTCTTGCTTTCTGTCTCTCTCTGTCTTTCTGGCGAGCGTACACACCCTATAGCGAAAACCTCTCCAAAAAAAAAAAAAAAGAAAGAAAAAAAAAGTTTTAAGGAATTAATTCATAATTATCTTTAAAAGAACTTCCTCTAATAAAAGTAGTACCTTTTCACTCAGAATGAATTAAAAAAACCCTAAGGGTTCTAGATAGCAAAGTTTTGTTTGTTTGTTTGTTTTTTGTAGAAAACAACAAAGAAAATTCAAACCATGACACAGTTATTTCTTTTATGGAATATAGTTTGCTTTAATTATCTTCTTCCTTTTTTGTTTTAGACATTTATTTATTTTAAATTTTATTTATTATCATTATTCTTGACCAGAGAGAGACAGAGAGAAGGGGAGAGTGAGAAAGCAAGCCGCCAGGTTTGCGAGTTGAACCGTGGTCGGCCATGTGGGAATCCAGCACCTCAACCACCATGCCACCCACTGGGCCCGTAATTATCTTCTTTCTAGAGCAGAGGTTGTTCGGCTGCAGAGATACTTTTAAAAATATGTGTGAGACTGAGGGTTACATTTAGGTCCCAGTAAACTATAATTCTGTCCTCCTCTTTTTCCTCACTAAATAATATGTATCAAACTACAGCCTGACAGTGAAGATGTGAAGGCAAACTTGAGTCTGCTCAAATACATGGAGTGAATCATTGCAACTTACAAGCATGACTTATAGTTGGTGTGATTTGTTCAGTTTATCACAAGGGTTAGATCCAGAACTGCTGTTGCGCCGTTTTGCTTTTAAACATTTTCTATCAAGCATAAGGGGACTTCAGAAATATCGGAGGGAAATGGAATTCAAGTGTAAGTTTATTTTGGTGCCCCCAAATTTGAAATCCGTGCCATTTTTTGATAGTATATGTTTTTCGTGAACTTTTTGAAAACCCCACAAATGCCTACAAATGACAAAATGTATTCTTTAACTAAAGCATTGTATTTTATATTTAACAGTATTAAAGGACACTTTGGAGAAAAAGGGAGTGTTAGGTCATTTAAAGGCAAGGATCCGAGCTGAAGTTTTCAATGCCCTAGATGATGAACGTGAACCTCGGCCGCCGTTGTCTCATGAAAACCTTCTAATTAACGAATTAATTCGGGAGTATTTGGAATTCAACAAATATAAGTATACAGCGTCTGTCCTCATAGCAGGTGAGTGGCTATTGCTCATCACTGGAGACCATTCCGCTGCTCCCTTGCCCCTGATTCTCAGAAAGTGTTTAGCATGGAAATCTTCATTGCTTTTGTTCCAGGCACCCAAACAGTGTCATCTGGGTGATTACAACATAAAAATCACTTGGGCTCTTTCTCTAGCTTAAGCAGATTCTCTCCTGAATTACTAAATTATAGGAGAAAATAAATAAGTGTTTAAACTAGATGCATACTTTGTGAAATCATCACAATTTCTGATGTTGAGAATAAACAATTACTGACATTTTATTGGGTTGTCAGAAAAGTCATCACATTTTTGCATAGAAAAAATACAGTCATGACTTTTCTGACAATCCAGAATCTTGTTTGCAGCCAGTCTTTTTCTTTTCTTTTCTTTCTTAGAGATTTTTGCTATAGAGCATGCACATTCACTAGAGAGACAGAGAAATAGAAAGCGAAAAATCACCTCCCAGGGGGGATGGCCACACCGCAATCCCTTCTCCTCCATTCTCCTCTCGGGATTTTGGGCACGCACATACACGTGCCTGGTGTGAGTTTTAAGCCACCGGGTCAGGGACTCAAATCATAGTCGACTACGTGGGAGTCCAGCTATGTAACCATTATGCCATCTGCTGGTCCCAGTCTGCTAACTTTTTAAATGTCTTCTCCAAAAAAAATGGACAATGACTAGCTTTGTTTAACTCTCAAGAAAATGGTTACCTCTGGGCGGGGTGGGAGGAGGAAAAGTAGACCATTGGGGACATGAGTAAAAACGCCTCGTGTGTCCGTCGTTCGCTTCCCTTGTTTCACGCTTTATCTCTGCTTTAATTCATGCTTCAGAGCCGTGCTTAGGAAAAAATAGAGAATGCCTCCTTTATTTGTGAAGCTAGAACTTTCCATCATAGATCCTTTATTTAATGCTGAGCGTATATGTTAACTGTGTAAAGACTGATGACTGACTTAAGGATCTTCAATGTCAGTATCTTTAGTTTCCTCAGTTTGTACTAGATGGCTATGTAATACTGTTGACATTCAAAAAGGAAACAAATTATGGAAATATCAATTTGATGTCTTAGGCTTCCCTAGAAGAAATACAATGACGGTAATCAAGTTTGTTTTGTTTTGTTTTGTTTTGTTGAGAGAGATTTTTGCTATAGGGCTTGTGCGATCACCAGAGAGCGAGAAATCATCCCCTGGGGGAATAGCTGTGCTGCAATCTCTTTTCTGTTCTCTTCTTGGGAGAAGCTGCTATTGACTATGTGGGAGTCCAGTGACGTAACCGTTTCACTACCTGCTGGTCCTAGTTATCAAGTTTTATATGAAATGATTCAGCTTTTTTTTTTTTTTTCCCTTAGGTTTTTGCCATGGGCCAAGTGCCCTCACCAGAGAGACAGTGAGAGGGAAAGTGAGAAATCATCTTCTAGGGGAATGATCATACTGCAGTCTCGTTTCCTCCACTTTCCTGGGATTTCGGACATGCACCCACATGCGCCCAGTGTGATTTTTAAGCCACTGGTTCTGGGACTCAGATTGCAGTCAACCATGTGGGAGTGTAGCACTTTAGCCACCATACCACCTGCTGACATCTGATTCGACTTTTTTAAACCTATAGGTATGGGGCTGGCAGGTGGCATAGTGGTTAAGGTGTTGGGACTCCCTTATGGCCAACTGTGATTGAAGTTCTGGACCCAGAAGCTTGGTTTTTCACCTTCCCTCTCTCTCTGAGCAAATTGGAAAATAATAATATAATAAAGTTAAATAGAATAATCCTTTTTCTTTTTCGTAGAGGTTTTTGTCTTAGGGCATGTGTGCTTAGTAGAGAGAGAGAGACAGAGACAGTAAGAGGGAAAGTGAGAAATCACTCTCAGTGGGGATGACCACGTCGTAATCCCTTCTCCTCCTTTCTCCTCCTGGGATGTTGGACACACACGTACATGGGCCTGGCATGAGAGTGAAACCACCAGTCCTGGGACTCAAAGCCCGCCATGTGGGAGTCCAGTAGCATAACCTCTAGCCTTCTGCTGGCCCCAGGTAAAATAATTCTCTAAAAAATATAAAATCAAGGGAACCATCAGTTAGCGTAATGGCTATGTCGCTGGACTCCCACGTAGTCGACCGCGGTTCGCGTCCCAGACCCGGTGGCTTAAAACTCACGCCGGGCGCGTGTGCGTGCGTGCCCATGATCCCGAGAGGAGAATGGAGGAGAAGGGATTGCGGCGTGACCATCCCCCCTGGCGGGTGATTTCTCGCTTTCTGTCTCTCTGTCTCTGTCTGTCTGGCGAGCGCACGCGCCCTATAGCGAAAATCTCTCTCAAAAAAAAAAAATAATAAAATAAAATAAAACTGTAGGCATAATTTACATATAAGAAAACGTACCTGTTTAGTGTACAGTTGGTGGATTTTGTCAAATACATATAATCATGTAATCTCCACCATAAGCAGAATCAAGATACAGAACGTTTCTGTCACCTGAGAGATACTTGTATACCCTTTGTAGTCAGCCTCCTCTCTCCCCCAACCCTTGGCAACCACTGAGCTTCCGTTTTCTGTACGTGTGGTTTGCCTTTTCTAGAAGGTCGTATCAATGGAACCATGTGGGATACAGCCTTCTGAGTCTGTGTTCCCACTTAGCATCATGCCTGCGAGGGTCAGTTGCGTTGCTTTGTCCCTATGAATAGATTCTGTTGTACAGCTATGCCGATTTATTTACCTATAGTCAGTTGGTAGGGATTTTAAGTTTCTTTTTAGTTTTTGGCAATTATAATAAAATTGCCATAAACACAGATTTTGTGTGAACATAGTTTTTGCTTCCCTTGGGTAAGTAACTAAGAGTGGATTGCTGAGTGGCATGACGGGGTATGCTTACCTCGATAAGGAAGCTGCTCAGTGGTTTCCAGAGTGCCTCTGTCATTTTGCTTTTCCACCAGCAGAGTATCAGTTCCGGTTGCTCCACATCTTTGCCAGCACTTCATATTAAATTTAATTTTCCTTTTAGAATTCCTGCCTCCAAATGGATATATGTTTTTCAAAAATAAGTTATTCGTAAACAGACTTATGAAGCCCAGTATTGTAGTCTAATTGCAAGAACACTATTTTTCCAACCAAGTAGTTGGGTGTTTAAAAGTGAGTTTATGTTAGGCTGTATTGAGTTATGTATTTAATAGAACAGATATTCTGAAAGTCATAAAATCACCTAGTTCTTGTCAAAAATTATACTTGCTTTGTAGATTAATAAACTCAAGTATTTTCATACATTTTTTTCCCCTCAGAATCTGGTCAACCTGTAGTTCCCTTGGACAGACAATTTCTCATCCGTGAATTAAATGCATTTGAAGAATCAAAGGATAATACAATGTAAGAAGTTTTGTGTTTTCAGATGTTGTTATAGCAGAATCATAATTGCTCAGTGGTGGTTTTATTTTATTTTAGTTCAGCAGACACTTACCAGATCTAGCGCGTGGCAAGCATTGTACTGAATCTGAGCTGTCGGCAGCGAACAGGTCAGAGGAGGTCTCTGCTCCTTTCTGCTCCCTGGAGCCAGAATTCCTTCGGAGGACTAAGCGTCTCTTCTTTCCGAGGGTCATTCCTCTTGGCTTCGTGATCTGCTGCTTTTTAGTCCTCAAGTTTTCCTCTCTCTGCCGTGCTCTTCCTATTTAACCTTTCCTCTCTACTGCTTCTTTCATTTAATTGTAGGCATGTGCTTAGATCCCTCCTCTCCTGGAAACGTTTATCAGCTCCCAACCCCCGGACCACTGCTCCATGTCCCATCACTACCAGCCTTCCTGAAAACCAGCCCTCAGCTTTCACCATGTTTTTACCCTCTTTTGCCTCCCTGCCTCTTACGTTCTCTCTTCACTCTTTATCTTGAAACTGGGCTCTTGAAAAGGAGGGCAGCCACTTTCTGGTCATTTCTTAGTTCTCTGTTAGTAGTTTTTATGTCTATGTCAGTGTTTCTTAAACCTTTTACAGAGGGTACCTAAATGGCACCTCTCAAAAAAATGTACTTAGGAGGCCTAAGAACATAGCTCAAAGCTGTATTCCTCTAGCAAAACATTTCTTTGAAGGCTTACGCTTTCTCTTTCTAAACATTCATTGAATTTTTTCATTCTGATTCATGGTATAATTGTTGTACTAAAAACGTGCTTTAAATTACATGCCCAGTAAATTTAATTTCCCCACAAACCCTTGTGTATAATTACTGTTTGTGGATTTAATTCCACCATTATCTTGTACTTGTGTCAAGATCCTAGCACCAAGGGTGGAGATATATTTCTAATATGAAAAGCTCAGTTTGACTTACCGCAGTGTTTCCCAATATTGGGAATATTGCTTAAAACCCATTTTTTTTTTCCTTTTAATGGGAGAGAGATGGAGATAGAAAGAGGTGGGTATTTTGGGCAGGGTCTCACCATGGCTCGATCTGCCCCAGTGTTGCCTTAGCTAGGATTACCAGCATGTGCTGCCAGCCCGGCTTGCTTTAGGTTGGTTTGGGATTGAACACAGGCCTTTCATGTGTCTTCAGTATTGCCTGGCGGTGCCGTGGTGCCTGTGTCACTGAGACTGGGCCTTCAAGCACTCTTTGTCATCTTTTATGTTTATTGTCTTTGTTTCTCCTTTACTGCCTTGTTTTCTTGTGTCCCTAGTAGTGCTTTGAGTTTCTTTGACCCCTTGAGGGTTCCTGTTAACTGCGGGCACTCCCACGTTTTGTCCTCCACTTTCTTTCTGTCTTGTCTTCTCCCCCCTCCAAGTGTTCTTGGGTCGTTAATGGTGCCTCTGTGCTGGTGAATCTGCTTTCAATCTGCTGGCATCTCAAACTCAGGGCATCCAAAAGTCAGATGTGCTGTTTTCATCTCCTCAGCCCCCTCTTGTAGGTTCCTTACATGGACGGACCTTCAGGTCTTGAACAAAGGGTCCACGTAAATTGTCGGTTTGCTCTCATGTCTCTACCACTCACTGGGCCTTCGCGTTGTCTCCTATCCTTGCTCACTGCCCTGCACTGTGCTCGTTAGGAGGCTTCTGACTAGTTCTCTAGCTCCATTCATTTTCTTTTCTTCTTTCTTTCTTTTCTTTTCTTTTCTTTCTTTCTTTCTTTCTTTCTTGCTTTCTTTCTTTCTTTCTTTCTTTCTTTCTCTCTCTCTCTCTCTCTCTCTCTCTCTCCCTCTCTCTCTCTCTCTCTCTTTCTTTCTTTCTTTTTTTAAATGTCAGAGAGGGCTAACAGGTATGCCAAAGAGAGGGAGAGAGGAAGACAGAGAAATCACCCCCCAGTGAGGCCCTGACATGCCACATCCTTTTCTGCCATGTCTCCATCCTGTCAGGATTCTGGACACGTGCGCACACCTGCCTGCTGGCACGCCTGGGCTGGGACCCCACCGTGGTTGGCCTCGTGGGGTCTGGCTGCCTCTGCACAGTTCTTCAGCACTGCGCCACAGGGCTGGCCTGCCAGTCATTTTCTTTTCCAACTTATGTTTCATGCTGCCAGCTGTCTTTCTATAAGGCAGTTACTGCTTTGGTTAAAATATTTGATAACTTTACATTGTGTCTGAGTGAAACTCATGTTACTTAGCGTAATGTTCTAGGCCCCACCCGTCTCTGATTGTACCTGCTCACATCTGACAGCTGACTCTGTCCTGGAGATACCTCGCAATGTCATGCTTCTTGGCCTTGAACAAACTGTTCTTTTAGCCCAGAAGTCCTGGATGGCTTTCTTCTCCCTCTAAATTCTTGGTGGATCGTCTTTCATCTTTATTGGTCGTGTTCAGATATTAACTCTTTTATGACAGTCGGTCTTCCTCTTCCTTTCCTTTTCCCCTCAAGTTTCTGTGTTTTGCTAGGATTTGATTTGTAATTTTATTACATGTGTATGTCATTCTTTCTTATAGTTAACCATTTGCTTGTTCTTTCACTACAAAGAAAACTGAGAAATGGGAGTACGTGAAATTTATTTGTATTTATTGTAGTCTCTCAATGTACTCTTTATACATATATGTACCAATAAAATGCTACTGCATAGAATTCCAGTTACCAAGAAAAATAACCTATATAAAATCAGAATGATTTTGATAAAAAGAGAAGAGTAAACATTTCTTACTTTCCATTGATTTATAGTTTCTTTAAGTCTCGTATTAATATTAAATTGACTAAAAAGAACACAGTTACGCAAACAATTTGAAAGCAAAAACTTGGTCTGAATAAGTACAGTTTGGAGATAATGCAGATTGGAACATTGTTATAGCACTGTGTACTTACCTAATAAAGCAGCCAGTTAGAAATGGCGTTTTAGGGGCAAGCAGGTGGTGTGGTTCATGGCAGCATATGTAAATCTCCATTTTTCTTCTTTTTAAAATTATGAGTGATTTCAGACATTTAAAGAAGTCTGGAGTGACATAACAGACATCTGTGTTCCCACCTCTCTTGGAGTGTTATATTTTGCCTCTTGAAGTTTTCAGCTATATAAAACGTTAGTGGTATCTGTGAAGGGTCACCCATCCTAGTCCCATCCCTCCCTAGCATAATCATGTCTTTCTTTCTTTTTTTTTTTTTTTTTGAGAGGTTTGTGTTATAGGGTGTGTGCGGTCGCCAGACAGAGAGAGACAGAGAGACAGAAAGTGAGAGATCACCCCCCCAGGGGGATGGCCACACTGCAATACCTTCTCCTCCATTCTCCTTTCAGGATCTTGGGCACGCACGCACACATGCCCAGCGTGAGTTTTAAGCCACCTGGTCCAGGACTCGAACTGTGGTCAACTACACGGGAGTCCAGTGACATAGCCATTATGCTAACTGCTGGTCCCATCATGTCTTTCCTTTTTGTTTTAAGCAACTCTGTAGTGTTCCATGTACCAGAAATGATTAATACGTTCTCTGATTGGTGATGTTGAGGTTGTATTCAGTGTCTTGCTACTGCAATACATATGCAATGGCCTTTGGTTTACTTAAACGTTTTTGAGTGCTTACTCTCACCCTGGAGATGTAGCGGTGAATATTGATTTCTGCAGTGTCGCGGTCTGGGAATCATTGTTCCCGGAGTGTGACCAGTGTAATGCTGGTTCTCCGAGATGCTCACCACTAAAAGTGCTCTGGGTAGGAAGGCTGCTGTACAGCGTCTGTGCTTGGAGAGTCAGTGCGCTTCAGTATAGCACAGCAATCGCTGTGAGAAACCCTGTGGACCAGAGAGCATTGCTGAACTCAGGGTCTCCAAACTTACTTGACTAAGGAATCTTTTTCACATAATTATTCACATCCTATAGAACCTAGTATTCATGGATATAGTTAAACACTGCATTTGTTACTGTTGTGCTTTGTTTATTTTTTTCATGAGAGACAGACAGTGAGAGGCACCCCCAGTGGAATCCTAACGCTGTGATTCACCCTCGTCTCAGCCAGGTCACAGGTACATGCGTGCACAGCCACATGAACAGGGGGACCTTGGCATGCAACCCCGGGCCCTTCCCCATGCCTAAGCATTGAGGAGGGTTGTGTTACAGTTGCACCCATCACAATGGCGGACCCGGAACCCTGTATCTGAGTGTTTGAGGGTTAAACAAAAGAGTGGGTAACACTTTCAAAAGCGTGAATTTTGACAATTTTTGAAAACCATAAAAATGGTAGAATTGAGGACACTAGGAAAAATAATTTTGAGGAGTCCGTGGCTTAGAATGAGCAGTGAGGCATGGCATAATTGAAATGTAGTACAAGAGATTGTTGTCCAGCGTTTAGCCATTGCTGGAAATGAACAACCTTTACCCTTTCGCTGGCTTCCTGGTAACTTTGGAGATATCTGCTATAGATAAAAGTATAAGAAGTTGATGAGCAGTGTTTTGTTTTTTCTAAAGAAGTTTGATGTAAGTTTAAGCTCTCCCTTCCTGATTTCAGTGAGCACTCATGGTTTGCCATACCTGTGTACTATTCATATTATACTTTGTACAGATCTACAGTGGTCGAGCTGAAACCCTTGAGGCCAATGTACTTTGAAAATCCAGACATTTTCAGATTTTCTTTATTTACGTTTTTGTCATAGGGTCTGTGTGCTTGCGAGAGAGGCAGAGACAGAGGGAAAGTGAGAAATTACCCTCTAGGGGTGTGGTCACACTGCAGTCCCCTCTTCTCAGTAATCCTCTCAGGATTTTGGGCACACATGCTCAGCATGATTGCCAAGCCACTGGATCTGGGACTTGAACCACAGTAGACCAGGTAGGAGTCCAGCCTTGTAACCACCACAGTGCCTGCTTTTTAAAAAGGTGGTATGGGGTCCAGCAGATTGCATAATGGCTATATCACTAGACTCCCATGTAGTCAACCGTGGTTCGAGTCCCAGACCGGTGGCTTAAACTCAAGCCAGGCGTGTGTGCGTGTGTGCCCAAGATCCTGAGAGGAGAATGGAGGAGAATGGATTGTGATGTGGCCATCCCCCTTGGGGGGTGATTTCTTGCTTTCTGTCTCTCTGCCTCTCTCTATCTTTCTGGTGAGCACATGTGCCCTATAGCAAAAACCTCTCAAAAAAAAAAAAAAAGTGGTATAGTACATATATATGCCAAATATGTTTAAAGTGACACTCCCCAGTCACATTAGTATTTTTCAGTGAAAGTTAACCATTTTTTTCTTCTTTTTTTTATTAAGGAGGTTTTTGCTATAGGGTGCATGCCTTCACCAGAGAGACAGAAAGCAAGAAATCACTCCCCTGCGGGGATGTTCATGCCACAACCCCTTCTCCCCTTTCCTCTCAGGAATTTTGGCATGCACATACATGTGCTCAGCATGAATTTTAAGATGCCGGGTCTGAGACTTGAACTGTGTGGTTGACTACATGTAAGTCCAGTAATGTAGCCATTATGCCATTTGCTTCAACTTAACAATTTTCACTTAAGGAAAGATAAATTTTAAAATAGTCTTATGTTAGGTCAAGCCCTGCTAACCAATGAATTTGTTCCAAATTTATGAAGAAATTTCAGTTTTCAGAGGTTTGCATTTCAGAATTAAAGATATTATGAGGCTATACTTTTCTTTAAATTATTGTTTTTCAGTTATTTAAAAAACCTTAAGACCCATGAAATTGCAAGTTAAATGTGCTATTTACATATTTTCTAATAACATTTTAAAACAGCAAACTCAAGATTTTTTTTTTTTTTTGCTATAGGGCATGTGCACTCACCAGAAAGACAGAAAGAGAGGCAGAGAGACAGAAAGCGAGAAATCACCTTGCAGGGAGGATGTCCATGCCTCAATCCCTTCTCCACCATTCTCTTCTTGAGATCTTGGGCACACACGCACATGTGCCTGGCATGAATTTAAGCCACCGACTCTGGGACTCGAACTGCGATCAACTACGTGGGAGTCCAGCGACTTAGCCATTATGCCAACTGCTGGTCCCAACTCAAAATTTTTAATCTTAATTAAATTTTGTTGTATGTCAGTTTAGAAAATAAAAATTTAAGCATTGAAAAATCATCGTGAACTAGTTAACACTTTGGGAAAGATTTGTCTAAGTGAACAAATGACCTATTTTATACTCATAGATGATACTTTCAAGAGTTGAAGCATCTTGGGACCAGCCTTGATCTACTCCTAGTCTTGGCTGGCCAGGATCGTGGGCACACATGCACATACTCAGTGTGTTCAGGGAGGCTAGGTCATGACTGGTGTGGGTCTAGCTGTGTCACCACTGTGCCAAGGCCTGGCCTCCAAGTTTCGTCTTCTGAAGGGAGTGCCATGTTTTAAGCCATGCCAGCTAATGATTAGATATCTCAAAAGATAAACCCACTTAAGTATTTTCAGTTATGGAACCAGAGACAAAGGGCAGCATTTCTGTCATACCTGTCCTCATCAGCATAGGAACTTTCACTTGTGCAAGGGTACGGCTGCAACTCTTCAGGCAGCGTGTTGAAAAGGAACGAACATGGGGACTAAGGGTCAGGTGTAAACTTTATCCACTCTCTGTGAGAATCTCTAGCAAATCTTCCCTGAGGCATGGTCTACTCATTTATAAACTGGGGATGACATGATGTCATCATGAGGTGAAGATAAAATGAAGAGAGTTAAGTGCTTTATAGGGGCTGGCAGGTGGTGTGATGGTTGGGGTGCTGGACTCCCACCTGGCTGACGGTGATTGGAGTCCTGGACCTGGCAGTTTGCTTTCTCACTTTCCTTTTCTGTCTCTTGCTGTGTACCTCTTTGGTCAAATTAAAAATACATAAATAAATAATGAATGAAATAAAATAATTCTTTTTAAAAAAGAGTGTTTTATGAGCTGTAAAGTAGCTTTTTAAAAAATACATTTATTAATTTATCTTTTTTTCTTTGAGAGGTTTTTGGTATTGGGCCTGTACCCTCACCAGAAAGACAGAGAGAGACAGACAGAAAGCGAGAAATCACTCCCTGGGGGGATGGCCACGCTGCAATCCCTTCTCCTCCATTCTCCTCTCAGGATCTTGGGCACACACACACATGTGCCCCGCGTGAGTTTAAGCCACCAGGTCTGGGACTCAAACTATGGTCGACTACAAGGGAGTCCAGCGACATAGCCTTTACTGTTGGTCCCAGTTTATCTATTTATTTTCAAGCACTTAGTTTGAGACTTGGCCCATGGTCAACCATGTGGAAATCCATCACCTTAACCACCACACCACCTGTTGGCCTCCATAAAGGAGCTTTTTATTTTTATTTATTTTTGTTATAGGGCGCATGTGCTCACTGGAGAGACAGAGAGACGGAAAGTGAGAAATCACCCCTCCCCGGGGAGGATGGCCACACCACAATCCCTTCTCCTTCGTTATCCTTTTGGCATGCATTCACATGTGCCCAGCGTGATTTTTTTTTTTTTAGTTTAATTATTATCATAATCTTTTTTATATTACATTGAATCACACATACCTTTATAGTGTGTTACATTTCTTTTTCCAGCATGATTACCATGCATATAAGTCAAGACAGAGACATTACTATCCACGTCATCATCAAATAGCTTTACATAATTTTTTTCTGATTATTATTATTATTTATTCTCATTATTTTTTTAAACATTCAACTACTATATATCATTTGACTTGTAAAAAGAATTTATCCAACACGAAATACTTCTCAGACCAGTCCAGTAGAGAATACTATACAAGTCATCATCAACAGGTAATAAACCATTTCCATGTCCCACTAATGTCCTGCCTCTCTACTTGTTTTCTTGCTATCCTTCTCTATACGCTTCCCTTCTCCTGCCCCGTTCCACACTGTCTTCAGCGTCCATAACTATTTTCACTGCTTTTACGCCCTCCAGTATTTCGATTTCTACAATAAAGTGTGGATAGTCGTATATATTAAGTGAATACATACAATATCTTTCTTTCATAGCCTGACTTGCTTCACTCAGCAATAGATCCTCCATATCTGACCACTTTCTATCAAATGTCAGGGTCTTGTTTTTTATGAATGGATTGTATTCCACAGAGTACATGTGCCACCCTTTTCCATCCATTCATCTATTTGTGGACATTTGGGTTGGTTCCATGTCTTAGTGATCCCCGATGTGAGTACTAAGCCACCAGGTCCAGGACTCGAACTGTGGTTGACTACGTGGGAATCCAGCAGTGTAAAAGTTCCGCCATCTGCTGGTTGCAAGTAGCTTTTAATTTTAATTAATTAATTTTTTTGGAGAAATTTTTGCTCTAGGGTACATGTGCTCGCTGGAGAGATAAAGACAAAGAGTAAGAAAGCAAGAAATCACCCCCCAGAGAGGATGGCCACACCACAGTCCCTTCTCCATTCTCCTTTTGGGATTTTGGGTGCATTTTAAACTGACAGGTCCAGGACTCAAACCACAGTTGACTATGTGGGAGTGCAACAACATAACCATTATGCCATCTGCTGGTCCCCCAAGCAGCTTTTTAAATATTAGCTGTTACCCAACTCCTGTGTGGCTAACATTTAGTCGCTTTTGTTGTTGTTTGTTTAACTGGCAGACAGCTTGTGGCTCACCAGCGAGACAGACATAGAGGAAGAAGGAGAACGCATTTCCTGACAGGCCATAGTCACACCGCAATCCCTTTTCCTCCATTTCTCCTGCTTGTGAGGCTTTGGGGCTTACACACACATTTGCCCGGTGTGTTTTAAGCTCCTGGGGCTGGGATTTGAACTACAATTGGCCATGTGGGGTCTAGCTCTAAGCTATAGGTTAAGGGACCTGGCTGGCTTACCTTCGTATACCGTGTAACTAGTATGTGCCATGGGTGGTTCTAAGCACTTGGCGTTTATTAACTTCCTGAGTACATAGCCACTGTGTGGGATCGGGACTGTGCTTATCCTCACTTAGGGAGGAAGAACTGTTCATGAGGTCAGAGAGGTTCAGAAGCTTGCCCAGTGTCCCTCAGCTGCCAAGTGGCAAAATCAGGATTTGAACCAGGCAGTCTGGCTCCCAGGACATAAGACCTCCTCTGGGGAAGGATTTATTAGTTCAACAGGTGCTTATTGTACTAGAAATAGACTAGACTTTGGAGTTTAAAAGTGAATTCCTGTGAGTTGATTGACGAGGTTTAAGTTGTTGATGTGTTTTCTCTGGGTTTTAAAATTACTGTGTGAGTTAAACTGCACTGTAAAAGAGTGTGACGTTTGCAGTTGGATAAGAACCATAAAATATTTTTTGAATCTAGTGAATTTCTTGGCCATTTTGATGTCAGAAGTTACCTTTTCAAGATTACTGTTTTGAGCTTTTGCAAATTTATTTTGTTTTTGTTTTTGTTTTTTGCCTTTCCTGCTGTAGACCTCTTTTGTATGGGATTTTATCTCATTTCTTACATGGAACTAAGGATGGGATCCAAAATGCACTTCTGAAAGGGTCTTCACTTCAGCCTCCAAATCCAAGTGTGGGCAGACAAGCCAGTGGAGGAAAGCTAACAGGTATGCATTTTCTGAAATTCATCATTTGGCTGGCAGCAAGTATATTTTCTTCTTGTATATTTTTATATTTGGAGGAGTCTTTCTAACTTAACTCTCCTTATACCTAACATAGTTTGCCTATGTTGCTTAACCTCAAAAAGTGAAATTCTTTTTGGAAAGAGAATCTTGGAGGAGTGGGAGAGGTAGGAATAACTTGGCAAAATTCTTAGAAATAGTTTCTATACAGAGTATCGAAAAACCTGATTTTAACAAAAGATAGTCTTCGCGGCAGTTTAGATCTTTAGTATACTGAATAAATAGGTTTTATCAAGGGATCTCTTTTTTTCTCTCCAGGACTGAAAAATAAAAGGCAAGGCTGCTGACTATAGATAGAGAAGTCATGGGTTATGTGTTCTTCCCATTTTCATTATACTTTTTATGATAAAATAGTAGTTATCAGGACCAGCAGTTGGCGTAATGGCTATGTCACTGGACTCCCATGTAGTAGACCACGATTCAAGTCCTGACCCAGTGGCTTAAACTCACACCAGGTGCATGTGTGTGAGTGTCCACATGTGCGTGAGTGTCCAAGATCCCAAGAGGAGAATGGAGAAGGGATTGCGGCATGGCCATCCCCCCGGGGGTGATTTCTCACTTTCTATCTCTCTGTCTCTGTCTTTCTGGTGTGTGCACGCGCCCTATAGCAAAAACCTCTTCAAAAAAAAAAAATAGTAGTTATCTACAACTAATAAATTCTGAGTGAAATAGCTGCATTTCTTTCAGAATACTTTTTAATTTTTTTAGTTTTTGCTGTAGGGTGTGTGCACTCACCAGGGAGAGAAAGAAAGAGGGAGAGAGAAAGTGAGAAAGCACCCCCTAAGGGAAATGGCCACACTGCAGTCCCTTCCCTTCCATTCTCTTCTTGGGACCCTGGGCACACAAGCACTTGTAGCCAGTATATTTTCCAAGCTACCAGGTCTGGTATTTGAACTGTGCTCTCAGCCATGGCTGATTCAGCTGCTTTAGCCACCATGCCAACTGGCTGCCTCTAGAATGCTTACCTTCTTTAGAATTATTTAATTTATTATCATTATTTTTTATTTTGACCAGAGAGAGATAGAAAGAGAGGGAAAGTGAGAAAGCAAGCTGCTGTATCCAGGACTCAAACTTGTTGGCCCTGTGGCAGTTCATCTCCCCAACCACCACACCACCTGCTGACCCTGAATGCTTACTTTCTAGAGGAGCTTTCAGATGTGTTGATTACATTAGCAGTGGGATCTCAGTTTGATCGTTAATAGTTCGATGTTCCAAGTACAATGAAGAGTTGATCTCTCTCTTTTTTTTTGGGGGGGGGGGGAGAGGTTTTTGCCACAGGGCACGTGTGCTTGTGAGTTCTAAGCCACCGGGTCCAGGACGCGAACCGCGGTTGACTACATGGGAGTCCAGCGACATAACCATTATGCCAACTGCTGGTCCCAAGAGTTGATCTCTTTAAGATCAGGATGGGCCTCAGATAGCTGGTAATCAGGACAAATGTAAATCTTGTTGAAATAAACTTTTAGGAAACACCTAAAATGCAAATTGCTTTTTGTAGGTTTCTTAAACTGCTGTGATGCATCCATATGGACTGTGTTGGGTATCTGCTGTCCCTTGAGGTCTGAGAGAGACAGACAGACAGAGCAAGCGGATGCTCTTTATAAGAGCCAGAGACTCGGAGAGAGTTGAGGGTCAAGTCGGAGAATCAGCTTTGGGTGTCTCTTCTGTGGAAAGCTCTGTAGGAAGTTCAGAATGAAGACGACTGCTGAGCTAATGGGGAAGAACAGTAATTCTGCAAAGAACTTTTTGATCGTCAAAAATTGTCTTGGCACAACATAATAGCCTCTTTGTGCAGTGACTTGAAAAGAACCGTCAGCCAAACATTGCATCACATTCCGGTAACACACTTGAGCACTCCACTTACTTTCTCAACTTGCAAAAGAAAAACTTCCTTTATACCTAATGGCTACAGAGCTCATTTGACAGCATCTCTACAGGAGCTCACCTGGCTGAAGTATGAAACATTGAAACTAAATTTACTCTTACTTTAAAATTAAAAGCATAACATGACAGAAGCACTTTTCTCACCAAAACTTTCAAAATGCTGAAGAAAAGAGGTTTCTAAAGTCACAACCACCTTTGAAATAATTGCCAATTCATTAATGCTGCCCCTATTTTCATTTGTAACCTTGGGGGCAAAGTAGGTTTTGCACTAAAGACAAGAGTTTTTAAGTAGAGAAAAACATTATGTGCAGCTTTGTTGCACATCTAAAATAACAGACTTCATTTTTTTTTTGGGGGGGGAGAGGTTTTTGCTATAGGGCACATGTGCTCGCCAGACACAGAGAGAGACAGAGAGTCAGAAAGCGAGAAATCACCCCCCAGGGGGGATAGCCATGCCACAATCCCTTCTCCTCCATTCTCCTCTCGGGATCTTGGGCACGCACGCACACGCGCCCAGCGTGAGTTTAAGCCACTGGGTCCAGGACTCGAACTGCAGTCGACTACGTGGGAGTCCAGCGACATAGCCATTACGCTAACTGCTGGTCCCACAGACTTCATTTTTTTTAATGACACTTTGCTAGGAGACATAAAAAGATCCTGTCCTAAGGAAATTGTTAATCAATCAATCGATTGATTGATTGTTTTCTTCCATGAGCGAGAGAGACAGCACCCCCAACAGAGCAGGCCTTGGTGCTATAGCCCATTCACACCCCACCCAGCCAGCCCTGGACTGTGGGCACATGGGTGCCCCACACTCAGGGAGTGTTCAGATGGGAACCCAGAGCCTTCTCTGTGGGTCAGCCTCACTGAGCATCACGTTTTACTGCTGCATTATTGTCAGACTCCAAGAAATTGTTCATTTTATTTTGGCCAGTGAAATTGTTGATTTTGCCTAAAATTGAGGAAGAGATTTTCATCTTGTTACCCGGACAGAAGGAGTGGTACTAGCCTCCAGGCTAATAAGCTGCTGAGCACTAACAGAACTGGACTTCAGAGTGTCTTTAGACAGGAAATCCAGCATGTGGTTTCAGTGCTGAAGATGTGTCGATTGTCTGATTTTATATTCTTTTTCCCCCGTTACCTCCATTGTCACAAGAAAGTTTTGTTTGTTTTGTCACTTATAAAAAGTGTTTGGGGGTTAGGGGACTTGTGTATTTTCAGGAATCTACTTTTTGCATTGCATTTTCGTTGCATTTGGATATTAAGTCTTTTTTTTGGTTCTTTTAATCTAGAACTCTTCTATCTCCTTTACCCCTGTAACAGAAGAAATTGAGCAGAAGTGACGAGGGCCCTGTCTGTGTTGTTGCCTTAGCCCAAGGCCTGGTCATAGGGATTTTTGGCTCCTCTGAACACTCATGGGGCTTTTTTATTTTTATTTTTTGTATTTTTTGGAGAAGTTTTTGCTACAGGGCACATGCACTCTCCAGAGACACAGAGAGAGACAGAGAGACAGAAAGTGAGAAATCACACACACACACACACACACCCCAGGGGCAATGGCCATACCACAATCCCTTCTCCTCCGTTCTCCTCTTGGGATCTTGGGCACACACACTGACACACGTGCCCAACCTGAGTTTAAGCCACCAGATCCAGGACTTGAACTGTGGTCAACTACATGGGAGTTCAGCGACATAGCCATTACACTGACTGCTGGTCCCACTCATGGGGCTCTTTTTTTGGGGGGTGGGAGTTTTTTTTTTTTTTTTTTTTTTGCTATAGAGCACGTGCGCTCGCCAGACAGACAGAGACAGAGAGACAGAAAGCGAGAAATCACCCCCTGGCGGGATGGCCACGCCGCAATCCCTTCTCCTCCGTTCTCCTCTCAGGATCTTGGGCATGCACGCACATGCGCCCAGTGTGAGTTTTAAGCCACTGGGTCCAGGACACGAACCGTGGTTGATTACGTGGGAGTCCAGCGACATAGCCATTACGCTAATTGCTGGTCCCCTCATGGGGCTCTTAAGAACATGTCCTAGGATGTCGTGGATAGTTTTGTAATTCGGTGGGAAGATATGAACTGTGCTGGTTTTCTTCTTGCCTCAAGAGGGTGCTGTGGGAAATATGTCTATTTGATGGTTTGGCTGTGTTTTAATTGAAGAGCTTTGGCATCCCTCAAAATGCTGATAAACACCTCATCCTTCTTGCAGCTTTCATCCCTATGTATGAGGGGTCTTTAGAAGCTTAAGGAAAGTATGTTACTATGGAAAAGCTTCATGGATTTTAAAACTTTTATACCAAAATAATTTCATACTTCAGCTTTCCTATGAACCTTTTGAAGTAGTCTCATATTAAAAGAGTGAAATTCATAAAAACACGTAGGATTACTCTAGGTTATGTTCTCTTCATGTAGTGGAAAAAGAAAAGGTCGTGCCAGCAGGTGGCATGGTGGTTAAAGGCGTTGGACTCCCACATGGTTGACCACGGTTTAAGTCCCAGACCTGGTGGCTTGCTTTCTCACTTTCCCTCTCTCTCTCCCTGATCAAACTGGAAAATAATAATAATAATAAATAAAGTTAACTTGAAAAAAAAATAGGTCAGAAAGCACTTTTGAATAAACAGAGTGAATCCCGAGTACTTAATAAATATTTCTGATTTCTTTAATAATGCTTAAAAAATAATGTGTTTTTCATTGTCCTAAGCAATCTCAAGAACTCTCAGACTACTAAATATATAACATCCTAAAATATAGGTCACTGTATCTGCCTGCTTTGACCTGGGAAGTGTTAATGTCTGCTTCTATTCTTCTATTCGTTTCAGACAACCACCTAAGCAACGAGACAGGGAAAAGTACAAATGTTCAAGAGCTTCGTGTTTCTCAAGCAGTGAAGAGATGACATTTCCACTTGGGGTATCATTTGTTTTAAAATTGTATGTATTAAATAACTTATTTATTGTTCTAATGTTATCAAAATGCACCACTAATATTTGTATTTTGTAGAAATTGTCATTTCTACAAAACACTTAGCCCCACGTGTTTTACTGCATTTGTGAATAAAAGCTAACTCTGTCATCTAGCTTATTGGATTTGACTTGAAAGAAAATGAATTGTCTTTAAGAAGTATTTCAGAGGGCCTTAAGTTTGTGAAATATAAAAGGGCTTTTTAGTATCTTGTACATTCTTTAAAAAAAATATACAGGTTAAAAAAAAAAAAAAAGAACAGGTCTTTATAACCTGTGCTCTGCTTTTTAACATGGCACGTTAATTAAATTTCCTCCAGGTGGTGTTATGTGGATTTGTGGGAAATATTCATTTGTGTGTGTGTGAGTGTGTGTGTGTTTTGCTATAGGATCTGTGTGCTTGCCAGGGTGGGAAGCAGAGAGAGAGAAAGAAGTACCCCATGGGGGGATGACCATACTGTAATCTCTTCTCCTCCATTCGCCTCTCAGGATTTTGGACATGTATGCATACTCAACTGGCATGATTTTCAAGCCTCCAGGTCCAGGACTTGAACCAAAGTGTTGGCCATGTGGGATCCAGCTGCCCTAACCACCACACCACCTATCTGGCCCTCAATTTGTGTTTTTTTTGTTTTGTTTTGTTTTTTAGATTTTTGTCGTAGGGCATGTGTGCTCACCAGAAAGAGACACAGAGGGAGAATGTAAGAAATCAACCTAGAGCTACAACCACACCGCAATCCTTTTTCTTCCATTCTCCTCTCAGGAGTTTGGGTACCCATGCACATGTGCCCGGTGTGAATTTCCAGTCGCCAGCTGTAGGACTTGAACCGTGGTCAGCCATGTGGGAATCCAGCACTTGAACCACCACACTATCTGCTGGCCCATCATTTGTGTTTTTAAAGCATTTTATAAAATATTAAACCAGAAAAAACTGATTCCTATAAAGTTTGACTTTCAAAATGTAGCTATTTTTTAGATAACCATTTATAATTAGGTCTCAATATCTGAATTACTGTCTAAAGTTGAACTTTGAACAATGTACTTTTTCTCTCCTTAGAGCATTTGGCTTCTACTGGAAGATTTAATTAAAAGGTAAAGGGGGAAATAATTCTTTTAATATTGCTATAATACAAAGAGTTTATTTTGTTATATAAAGAATGTGAAATAAGCATGAAGAGACAGGCTTTGGGAGAAGTACCAGAAAATGCTTGTTAAAAGATGGCATTGTTTAACCTCCTTGTGGCACCCTGCTATGCAGTTACAGACGAGCTATGAAAGGGCTAACCCCTACTTATTTGGGCTCCAAAAGTCTTATTAAAGGTCAATTTTTATTCCTGGGCTAGGCAGATATTAAGAGCTCTTAAGTACTATCTGTAAAATGGTACGTTGATATTTATTAATAATTTTTAATGGAGCATTTATAGCCCATCTCACTGAAAACAACTGACTGTTACGATTGACAGGTCCTGATTGGCAAAAGTCACGTGGTATTCTTGGGACAGACCTCTGCCGGGTACTTGCACACTGACTGTCAGCTCAAGTGTTTTCCACAGTCATGAGTGATAGGGGCTGTAGTTGGCAAAATTGGCATTCTCTATGGGGTGTTGATTCTGTGTTATCTTTGAAAATTATAAACTCCATTTTTTAAAGGAATTATTTATGTATTTATTTAATTGCATTTGTTATTGTTATTTTTTTAACTTGTCCAGAGAGAGAGAATTCAGCGCCTTTAACCACCATGCCACCTGCCAGCCCCGTCGAAACTCCTTTTTGTGATGCTAGTCAGTGTTCACTCCTTCCAGAATAATCAGAAATTTTTTTCTCAATGCAGAATTTTTTTTTTTAATTGTTTTAGAGAGATTTTTGCTATAAGGCACCTGTGCTCGCTGGAGAGACAGGGAGACAGACAGAAAGTGAGAAATCACCCCCTAGGGAGGGGGGATGGCCACGTTGCAGTCCCTTCTCATCCATTCTCTTCTTAGGATTTTAGGCATGCACATGCACGCCCCAGTGTGAGTCTTTTGTTTTGTTTTGTTTTGCTCTTTTGAGAGGTTTTTGCTATAGGGCATGTGCACTCACCAGAAAGACAGAGACAGGGGTTTTTGCTATAGGGCGTGTGCACTCACCAGAAAGACAGAGACAGGGAGACAGAAAGCATCCCCCAGGGGGGATGGCCACGCTGCAATTCCTTCTCATCCATTTTCCTCTTGGGATCTTGGGCACATACGTACACACACCAGGTGTGATTTTAAGCCACTGGGTCCAGGATTCAAACTGTAGTCAACTATGTGGCAGTCCAGTGACGTAGCCATTATGCCATCTGCTGGTCCCTCCCACCCCCAGTGTGAGTTTTAAACTGCGAGGTCTGGGACTCGAACCACGGTTGACTATGTGGGAGTCCAGCAACATAACCATTATGCCATCTGCTGGTCCCATCAATGCAGAAAATTGTGGTCCCTTTCAGCCATACTTTACAAATCAGAAGATTCTGAGAGGCCTCGTTGCTGGATTAAAATGATATATAGAGATGCCAAAGTATTGAAAGGGCCTGATTCCATTTTTAAGTCTGTAATGTCTGATTACAATTATGAATTCCTTTATATTAGATGTGGGAATATAAATATCTGAATTCTCCCAGAGCACTTGGTTTCCATCCAAGGATGTTGGCCGTGGACACGAAGGAATTACAGTCATGCAGGGCTAGATTAAGAAAAATGCTGGAGTTGATCACTTTCTTGGAAACTGATAGAAAATGATGAAAATAGAAACAAAATAAAATTGTCACATATAGTTGATAGTACTTTTATATGCATCATTCTGTAACTTGTTTGTACCTAGACAACTTTTATACTTCCACTGTGTCATTTAATAATAATAATAATAATAAAAGAGAAGTTAAGCAATTCACCTTGGTGCAAAGGGTGTTTGTACCCCTGTTCTGTCATTAAGGGATGTACTCTAGAAGAGAGAAGAATGATTAGGGCCCGCTGCTGGGATCCTTGGAAACTTGGTTGATGGAGGGTGAGGTGTGAAAAAAGGGAGTTTTTCCTAATGCACATGTCCTTGTCATCAGCCCTACTCCAAAGTTTGGAGTAGTTATTCTTTATATGGTGGCAGTGGTCGGAACTGGTGGCCTCTGTCTCTTGGGGACAGTATCAGAATATATGGTTTGAAAAGCATATTTAGGAGCCAGCAGGTGGCATGATGGTTGAGGTGCTGGACTCCCACATCGCTGACTGTAGTTTGAGTCCTGGACCTGGCGGCTTGCTTTTCACTTTTTCTCTCTCTCTGTCTCTGTCTGGTGAGTACATGTGCCCTGTAGCACATTTAAAACAAAATAATAATGGTAAATAATAAAATTAATATAAAAATAAATTCTATAACATTTTTATATGTGGAAAAGAGAAAAACATCTATTTGCAGAACATCATGAGTTTTTTTGTTTGTTTAATTAGGTTTTTGCCATAGGTCACATACGCTTTCCAGAGAGACAGAAAGAGAGAAAGTGAGAAATCATCCCCCTAGTGGGGATGGCCATGCTACAATCGCTTCTCCTTTCTCTAAGGATTTTGGTTACTCATGCACACGGGCGCAGCATGCGAACCACAATCTACCATGTGAGATCCAGTGCCATAACCACCAAGCCTCTTGCTGGACTCGGAACACTAAGGTTTTCAATGATTTAAAAAGGAGGGCTTTGTTAGGCCAGCAGGTGGTGTGGTGGATAAGTGCACTGGGCTCCCACATGGCCAACTATGGTTCAAATCCTGGACCTGGTGGCTTGCTTTCTCACTTTCCCTTTCTCTGTCTCTGTCTCTGTTTCTCTCTGGTCAAATTAAAATAATAATGATGATGAATAAAATTAAATAAAATAATTCTTAAAAAAGAAAGGAGGGTTTTGTGTTCTTGGAAGAGTTGAGAAAATCTGCTTTAGAAATTTCGATACTCAGGCTTTACAGATAGCAAAAATTCATAATCCAGTAGTTTAAAGAGGTGCATGGGCTGAGACAATTTTTTTTTTTTTAAGAGAGATTTTTGCTATAGGGTGGATGCGCTTGCCAGAAAGACAGAAATCATCCCCACAAGGGGGATGGCCATGCTGCAATCCCTTCTCCATTCTCCTCTTGGGATTTTGGGGATGTATGAACATATGCTCGGCATGAGTTTTGTTTTGAGAAAGGGATTTTTACTATAGGGTGTGTGTGTGCTCCCTGGAGAGACAGAGACAGAGCAACAGAAAGCAAGAAATCACCCCCCGAAGGGATGGCCACACTGCAGTCCCTTCACCTCCATTCTCCTCTTGGGATGTTGAGCACACATGGACATATATCCAGCAGAAGGTTTTTGTTTTTGTTTTTGTTTTTTTGTTTTTGAGAGGTTTTTGCTATAGGGCGTGCACACTTGCCAGAAAGGCAGGGAGAGACAGAAAGACAGAAAGCAAGAAATCGCCCTCCAGGGGAGATGGCCATACCACAATCCCTTCTCCATTCTCCTCTCAGGATCTTGGGCACGCATGCACATGCGCCCAGCGTGAGTTTAAGCCACCCGGTCTGGGACTCGAACCACTGTCTACTACATGGGAGTCCAGCGACATAGCATTACGCCAACTGCTGGTCCCCCCAGCATGAGTTTTAAGCTGCCAGGTCCAGGACTCAAACTGCAGTTGACTACGTGGGAGTCCAGCGAGGTAAGAATTATGCCATCTGCTGTTCCCGGGCTGAGACGTTTTTAAAAACTGAAGGAAAGAAAAGATAACACAAATATCTTGACAGGAAATGAAAGTATAGAGGACGCACAGGCTGTTCTCAGAAACTCATTATTAATACATCGCTGGTAGTTTTCTTGGGGTTATCAGGAGACAGTATCTTCTAGAAATGCAACAGTGGAATGGGAATTGGAACTAAAGAGGGCTTTTGGAAAGGTAGAAATAAGCTTGGGCCATCTGAAAACTCGCAGCAGGATCAGAGGTGGCTTTTGAAGATGATAAATGTAATCTTAGCATATATGTTTGTGTAGAATAAACTAATAGCTTTATAATTATGTGCAAGAGCACGTTTGTATATGACTCACATGCCTGTATGATTATGTAAAACTTGGTATGTTCTTTTAATCTAAAGCCAAGTGTACATGAAGGATTAACGTTTGTGAGAATGTGCCTTTAAAGGCATGTAGGGTAGTTCTTCCCAGACACTTGGTGTTTGATTTTTGTAACAACTGTTATGCAAGGACTGTGTGGTCTTTGTGACTTTTTTTTTTTTAATGAAAGCAAGGTAAAAATACCTTATTAATTATTTTCAGAAATTTTTGCTATAGGGTGTGTGCACTTGCCAGAGAGAGAAGGAGAGACAAAGTGAGAAATCACCTCTCAAGGAAGGATGGCCACATCACAATCCCTTCTCCCCCTTGGGATTTTGGGTATGCCCTCACATGTGCCTGACATGAGTTTTTTTTTTTTTTTTTAGAGGTTTTTGCTATAGGGTGCATGTACTCGCCAGACAGACAGAGAGAGACAGAGAGACAGCGAGAAATACCCACCTCTAGGGGGATGGCCACGCCGCAATCCCTTCTCCTCCATTCTCCTCTCAGGATCTTGGGCATGCACACGCGCCCAGCATGAGTTTTAAGCCACTGGGGTCCGGGACGCGAACTGCGGTCAACTACATGGGAGTCCAGCGACATAGCCATTACGCTAACTGCTGGTCCCAAGTTTTAAACCGCTGGGTCCAGAACTCGAACTGCGGTTGACTACATTGGAGTCTAGCAACGTATCCATTACGCCATCTGCTGGTCCTAAAACTACCTTTTTAAAAGCAGACTTTGTTTGTTTGTTATTTGTTTTAGGGTCTTGCTCTAGGACATGTGCTTTTACTGGAGATACAGACAGAGAGAAAGTGAGAAATCACCCCCACAAGGGATGACCACACCACAGTCTCTTCTCCTCCACTCTCTCAGGATTTTGGACATGCCAGCGTGGTTTTTCAAGCCACCAGGTCCACCAGTCAAATTGTAGTTGGCCATGTGGGAATACAGCACATTAACACCTGTACTGCCTAAAAGCAGACTATTTTCAAGAGCAATTTTAGGTTCGGAGCTAAATTGAGTAGAAAGACAGAGAGCTCTCTTCTGCCCCAGTCTCCACATGGCATGTCCTCCCCCATTACCAGCGCCCTACACCAGAGTGGTCCACTTGGCACCGTGTGTGAACTGTGCAGACGTGTCATCAGTGCAGTCCATAGTTTACGTCGGGGTTCCCCCTCGGTGCTGGACAGCGATAGTTCAGACGAACATACAGCGACACATGTTAGCCAGTAACATACAAGTGCTTTCCCCGCCCGAACACCGTCCATGCCCTGCCGATAACTGCCTTCTCCAGAATGTTACTGGGTTATTGGAAAAGGCATGATGTGTTTAATACGTCATGGCTTTTCCAATGTACCGTTAGAATTACACTGCATGGCCCGCTCGGGGGGCCTCTTCCACGTAGTAACATGCACTCACGCTTTCTTCATGTCTTTTTAGGGGTTTGAGAGCCCACTGCTAAATAGTGTTCCATTGCTGTTCATCCAGTCATACTGAAGGGCGTCTTGGGTGCCTCCAAGTTTTGGCAGTTATGAATAAAGACGCTGTAAGCATTTGTGTACAGGGTTTTTTTTTTTTAATATTTACTCAACTTTATTTATCTTCATTTAAACACAGAGGGTGAGAGAGACAGAGAGAGTGAGTGAGAAAGCAAGCCGTCAGGGCTGGGACTCAAACTGCAGTCAGCCATGTGGAAGTCCAGCACCCTTAACCACCACCCCACCTGGCGGTGTGCAGGTGTTTGTATGAACATAAGTACATAGCTCATTTGGGTAAGTCCCAAGAAGTATAATTG